TAATTATTTCTGAAATTATAAATAAATAAAATAAATAAATAAAATAAGAAAACAAATTAACATTTACCTAACCAGGTAAGTGGATTCTTAAGCACAATCAGCTCATTAGAATTACTAAAAGAATTAGCATTGGAAATAGGACATCCATTCTCATCAAATTCCTAAGGAAAAATAAAAATACATTTATTTGACAAGAATGATCAACCACAATAACATAAATGTTTATTATTACTTGAACAACTGTTTGACCTTTAGCCCTTTTACAACGAGAGTATACTGACTTTTTCATCATACATTGACCCGTGGCTTTGTTATAAGCCTTCTCTAAAGCACTCTTAGGTCTATAATTTCAATACCTTCAACATGCTTCTTCAAAAATAACATCATCGTTTTTTTTTCATTGCAATAACCAAACATGTAACAAAATGAACACATACAGTAGCAATAATGTTCAATACAATAATGCATTTGATCAATTACTGTAAAATTTTCATATGTAAAAATATAAATGATCATTTATTGTTACATAACTGAACATTATTTTTGAAACTACAAAACAGTTATAATCATTAAAAATAACACGTACAACATATATTTCCATAAACACAAGTATATATATAAATGAACATTTACAATTACATAAATGAACATTTTTACATACAACACAACTAAATAACAAATAATAAAATATGTTCACTAGTTAAAATGTATATGTGCGTCTACAATACAATGAAAATCATATAAAATATTTGTAGTATTAAAATACTTAATTTCGCATCATAGAGTCCATAAATTTGTTTAGCGTCAATCCAACTGAGAACTAGGTTCTTGTCTCATCATCGCACAATCTGTTTGGGTTATGAAGCCAAAATTAAGTAGGCGTTTACAGGTAGTTTTAACATCACCCCAACAATAATTCTGATCCATAACTTTCGATCATTTTTTGTCAATTCTAACCTTTAATTTGACCTAACGATCAAAATAACCCCCTAAACCTATACAGAACATGTTTTACGCATGAAAATAGAAATTTTGTTTCAAAAAAAAAGGTTAGGTTTATCGGATTTTTGACGGTAGATGGTAAAAAACTTTTTTTTTTGGTGGTAAAATAAAAGTTATAGAACTTTGATGGTAAAAAAACAATTTCGGTTTTTTTTTTTTGGTCGTAAAAAAAAAAAAAAAAAAAAAAAAAAAAAAAAAAAAAAAAAACCCAATAAATAACAATAAAATTCAATCATTATATATAATACTAAAACAACCACCAGAAATAACACATGTCACTACCTGGTGTTGTTTTTTCCCTCCAAAATCCTCTCCCTTTATTACTTTTTTTTTTCTTATTTAAGCCAATGCCACATACTATAATCTACACACAAAATATTAATCAAATTATATATCAAAGTTGTGGTAATTTTGATTAACATACTATTTATGTCTGTGGTAAATTATTTTCCACATCTATTATTTTATACTCTTATAAATATTACTCCGTATGAAATATCTTTGATAGTACAATACACATATCTTTCCACTATACCATATTTCTTGGACAAAAATAACATTATTGTATTTTTATTTGTAATTTTCACCTATCTATGTATTACTCATTTTTTTCTACTACCACAAAGTGTATTAAATGCACAATTATTTAAGTTACAATGCAGTTTTTATCTTCTCAATAATTTGGTTAGAATATCAAATGGAGTTTTGGTTTTTTTTAATGTTTTAATTAGTTTCTCGCCTAATTATAATACAAAGAACACGTACAACAAAATAAAGGGAGTATAACAATATAGTTTAACATTGTGTCAAAAAAATATAGCTTAACATTACAAATCCAGATCTATGTATATATGAAATCATGTACGAAGTAAGATAATTTGATTAGTTAAATTTTCATCTTTTTTATATTTATCTCAAATAGTTCAAAGTTAATTATTATATTTTGTTAGGGAAAAAAATTAACCAAATATCATTAAAACGGGGCTATTATTCCTTTCCATTTGGTTAATGCTTTTTTTTTTTTTTTTTGACAAGAAGAAAAAGGATTTCATTAATGAAAGATAGCCAAACGGCAATTACAAACAATTCTAAGGAAAACTAGAATTCCAGCACAAGTACAAATCACCTTAGAACTAGTTGTATCGCAGATTTGATCGACGATCGCCTTAATAAAAAAACTTCATTCGAAGCAATACAATCTGTGAGTTAGCACTAATTTGGCTTAAGATCCACTGACGAATAGTTGTTTAAGTGAAAATACTCATATGGTCTTCTAATTATTTTCGGAGATTATAAAACCCTAAATCTTCAATTTTCGACAGACAAACATAAAAAGAAATTAACCCTAATAGAATAACCACCATCTCAAAGATGGGATCCATTTATTGAAAGCAATTAAAAAGTTTTTTTGGGGCTTACCACCGGTAAAAACACCGATGGAAGCCCTTACAAAGATTCACAAAAGAGATCAAAAGAAAAGAGATGAAGGAGAAAGAGAGAAAATGAGAAGAATGAAGGAAAACCTTCAAAAAAGCAAAAAAAAATCTAGCACCGGAAGCTAGAAAAACCCTCCCAAGGGAAAAACCTTATAGGGAACCAGAAAAACCCTCCCAAGGTTTGTACGCAATTATGGAAGCCTTGTCCATTTTGTGTAATGCTTAATTCAAATACTTGTTAGGCTAATAAAAAGGATAATGATACTCATTTGTCATTGAATTTTTTAATCAACTCTTTCGTTATATTCCATTATATATATATATATATATATATATATATATATATATATATATATATATATATATATATATATAAAATAAGAAGAAAATAAATACAAACTACATTATATTTGTTTTTTGTCCATGTTATTTTTACAAACAAAAAAATCTTTTTAAAATTTAATACTCCCTCTATTTCATGTTGTTAGTCCGTTTACGTATATCGATGTAAATTTTTTATCGCAAATATCTTTAATCTCACACTAGCAAAAGTTATAAAAATTAGATATTAATAATGTACTTATTGTCAAGACGAATAAAACTAGATCTCATATGACTATCTATGTTCGTTTTTATATATAAAGAGAAATTAGAAAATTTCCTCTAATTTTTAATAGTCAAAAGATTCTAATTGGGATTAACAAACAGAAACAAAGGGATACTAAAACTACTATGCATGACACGGGTCCTAACCTAGTAACCTTACAATTAAAAATTCCAATAACTTTCTTCGCAAATTATGATTCTTTTATCGCCAAACAACACAATTAAGCTCGAAATATAGCAACAAATGTGTGAAATGATAAATGTATACAATCACATTGAGGTGTCAAAAACTGATTCGACCCGATCTGAAACCAACCTAAAAAAATAAATTCAAATTTCGAATTATATGGACATAATAATTTAGCATGACTTAAACCAATATGTACCCGACCTCACTGAACTCGGCACAAACATCAAAATTTACACATTTTCTATCTCATACTTTATTGATGAGAAATCTAGAGGAGATAGAGAATAAATGAAGCTGATGAAAAAAAAGAAGAGAGAGAGTCACATTTTCTATCACATCCAAATAAACACATCCAAATTAACACATTTTCTATCACATTCAAATTAACACATTTTCTATCACATACTCTTGTGGGTAATTGTTTTAATCATTTCAATGAATAGTTTATTAATATTCAATTGTTATAATTTTTAGCTATTGATAATTAAAGATATTATCAGTCAAAGTATTACATTGACTTGCATTGGCATACATACAAAAGAGAAATGTTTCATTTATTTAAACACAGAGGGAGTAGTTAGTAGGAATTTAAAACTCAAAATTGTTGTAAATTGCGAAAATACACTGGTGTCTGGTTATACCTAGCTAAGTACTAGAGGTTCGATTACTAAGCTGTGAGTTTTTACAGGATGAATAGCTGCAAGTTATCAACATTGTTTCTTTTCTGCTCCTTCCGTCCCATAATACTTGACACAGTTATCATTTTCGTCCGTCTTAAAATACTTGACACGTTACTAAACATAGAATGAGACCACTAATTAAAAAAATATTTCCTATACTCTCTTTGGGACCACAAACCCTAAAACCCAATTAAAACCTACATTTTCACTCTCCTCACTACCCCACCTCCCCCACTTTTTGTTTTCTTATAATATAAAAATACAAAATAAAATCTTTTATATATTAAACAAATGTTTTAAATAGATAAACTTGTAATTTTCTTAAACTACATGTCCACCCCAACGTCCCAAGTATTATGGAATGGAGGGAGTATTATTTTATTTTAGGGAAAATTGTTCCGTGTACCCTTGAGGTTCTAAAAAATGCAACGTGTACCCCTAAAAATTTTTAAATGCACTGTGTACCCCTAAGTTTTTTATAAATTTGCATCAAATACCCCTAGACTCATAACAAATTAAATGTTGATTTTGTTAGGGGTACACAATGCATTTGAAAGTTTTCAGGGATACACGATATATTTTTTAAAACCTCAAGGGTACACAAAACAATTTCCCTTTATTTTATTTTATTTCAGAACCTTTTTCACTTTTCGTTGTTTTGGTTAAATCTGCACTTAATCTTGTACCAGTAAACGACACTCGTGAGGATAGTGCCAACATAATAAATACTTCCTCCGTTCTAGTAATATTGCAACAATTAGACTTTTGCACTATTCATCATGCTTGTTTGACCACAAATTATGATTTATACGTAAAGTAAAATATAGTCATGTGGAGTCTTTGTTAGATTCGTCTCGTAAAATACTTTCACAATATCAACTTTTTATAATTTTTACTCTTATATAATTTTAGATATTTAACATATAAAATGTAGTTTGAGATGCGTAATTTCATCCTTGTTGCAATTTGTGGAACAAAGGAAGTAAATAATATAATATAATATAATAATATAACAGTTTTAATTAATTTACCAAACAAAAGATAAAGGACTAAAAAGTGTTGCCAACCACGTGAAAACAACAGGAGGAAAAAAAGCAGATTGAAATAATTGTAAGCAATTAGTTTTTGCTCACGTCTCACAGCAAATACCTGTTTCCCTACTAATTGAGTTGTATTACAAACTAAAAAGTTGACAGCCCATTCAAAGTTGCAATTTCTGGAGTTCAGAAACCTTTAGAAAGCTTAGGAAAGAATCAAAAAAAGGGTCATTAACGACCAATTAATTTACATAAACAGGCCTCGTGATTCGTGAAACCATCATCTGAACTCCATTTCTGTACTGATTTTAACTTAAACCATTATTTACACCTTAGAGTTAGATAATATCAAGATAGCCAAACACCCAGCAGGATTTAAAAGCACCCCAAAAAATATAAACACAACCAGCACAAGAAAGCAGTCAAAACTCGGTAGAATTCCTGCATGATTGGCCTCCTGGTCGAGTAATGGCTCGACTTTGGAACCCTGTCTCCAGCACTTTCTCCCAGTCGACTTCTTCTTCCTCTTCCTCCTTCGCTTTTAACAGCTCAATAATCCGTCTTGCCTTTTCCTTTGCCCGTTCCCGATTATTCTTTTCAATAACGACCTTAAGCACGTCCATTGCCCCAGCCACCTTAGCCAATCCTCGGAATCTCAAAGCCCCTCCATGACCCAAAGCATAAAGTGCAGCAACACAACTCTCCTGAGTTGACTCTGAGTCAAATTCACCCTTCCTTAGCAACTCTATCAAGAACTCAACTGCACCAGCATCTAGCATAGCAGCCCTCCCCTCATTACAAGCCCCCAAGTTGCATAAAATTATTAAGGCACGCCCTGGCATTTGACCCGACTTTACCATGCCAAGTAGTAGTTGGACTGACCCAAATTTGACCAGTTTTAATCGGTTGCTCTGGACCAATGAGAGATGGTACAAAGCCAAAGCCGCATCATGCCTGGCTCGTTCACTCTCTGATCTCATCAACATATGAACCAATGGCTGTAATGCACCAAGAACTCCTATTGCAGTTTTATTCCCATCATCAAGGGCTAAGCTAAAGAGAGCACCACAAGCATGTTCTTGTGCCTCGGGGGATCTGCCCCTCAACACATCAATCAGAGGGGGCACAAATCCTGCTCTTACAATCTTTACTTTGTTAACCTTTTCTAGAGACAGATTGACCAATATTGCTACCGAGTTCACCTAAAAAATAATTGCAGTGAGAAATCATACGAAGTAGCAAATTTTTTAGCATCATTTTTGCAAAAACTGCTATTATAAAGATCAAAACTTGCAATAATCAACAGGATGCTCGTATTACAAGATCAGATAAACTAGTTAAAAAATTTCACCATTTCTCATAGAAAGTCTATGAGAATATGGGTACAATACAAACCGCCCTGCATGCACACATTCGAGGTGGGTAAGAGCAGAAGTTTTTTTCTATTTTACCTACCTGCTTACCAAACCCCAAATTTGTAGCTTTCACTCGAGCCCAAAGGAAATGCCGTCATACACTAAAAGGAATAATGCTCAGACATCAGGTCTGTCTCTAATCATAGAGATTATCATAGCTTCAATGATTTTCCTATTTACTTGGCTACATCCCAATCGATAATGCTTTGTAAAAGGAAGGATTATTCCCCTTATATTGTCACTCATGCTGAAGTTGAGCGCCCAGACACTCTCAATAACAATGACCTCCCAAATAATTGATACAATTATATATCAAACTGTCAATAATCATTCTTGAAATCTTCCACTTTTATTCGGACATATAACATAACCAAAACTCAAGTACTCTTCTTTTAGTTTAAAAGTAACATATGTTGGAACAAATTTGCTCCCACAAAATGAAGCTGGATTGTGATTTACCCGTACTTAATCAGTTGACCACACCATTACCACATACATTCATCGACAATCCCTTATAGAGAAATTATGTCATGACTGGATTGCAAAGACAACTATTCAAGATCAATGCTGTCACATTAATAAATTAAATAGAAATCCTAATTTTTAAGTGTCATTGAAAAGGAGAAATGTCCAATTAATCTCCTGTTTTAACTAAGAGTGCAAATCAAGTGGCATTTTCATGATAAAACTATATTTCTCTAATTCGAAATTATAAAATTGTGCTAAGTGCTATACTTAATATAAAATCATAGTTTTTACGTCAATACCCACATAATCATAGTTATATGTTTACTGCCCACATAATCCTAGTTTTATGTATAAAAACCACGTAATCTTGATTTATATAGATGTTAATCTCGAAAATTAACTATATATGTGGTAGACCAAAATGATTAAAAAAAAAAAAATTGACTACAAAAACATTGAAAAACCTCAACATTGACCAACATACATTTTCAACTCACTAAACAACACAATACTTAAAATTCAATGAAAATTCATAATTTCAAATCACCAGTCCAAATTTCGTTGTCGCATTACTAATTTAAATCAAAATATCAACGTGAAAATTAATTCGAGACCGTACACACAAATAAACTTACCTGAATGTCAGTATACTTGGACGTGATTAAAGACCGAAGAGCAGACAGAAGCCGCGGGGTACACAGACTAACAAGAGACACCACACTACTTCTAGTAGTCTTCCTTAAGGCAACCAAACCTTCCTCTTGCTCATATACGTGCTGACTCCTAAGCTTCGATACGTATCCCTCATCAACGCACGAACCCGACTCCGACAACTCGAACTCAGAGCTCGATGAGCAAGAAGAGTAGCAACTGGGCCGAGTCGCGAGAACGAACGGCGTCCTTCTAAAAGACCCAGAAAGCGATTCACCCGAGTCGAACCGAGTTTGCCTCCGAGTTAACTCACTCTCAGAGTGTTCCAGAAGATTCGAACCCGGGTCATCAACTCTCCGTAACAACTCACCCGAAATCTCACCATTTTCCTTCGTTTCCGCCATTAACGATTCTAGAAGCTTCAGAGCATCGGCGAGTTCGAGGGGTGTTGGTGGGGAGGAAAGAGAAAGCTTAGCCCAGTTGAAAATGGAGGTTTTCAGAGCTAAATTGGGGATAACCATGGAGAAATCAGGGGTAGAACCGTCATTTAGAGTGGGAGTAAACCCTAGATTTTTGCAGGCTGTAACACAAGCTCGCTCAAATGTTTGACCCGTTGAGACGATAACCGGGTCAGCCATGAGTGACCCGGAAATCGGGCAGATGAACTCAGTTGGGGGTATATCGGGTCGGGTTTCGGGTTTGGTTGGTGTTGATGTTGATCTGTAGATTGAGATTTTCCATCGATGCTTTCCACTACCCATTTTTGTGAGAATTTTTTTGTTTTTTTCTGGAATTTGTTGGAATATAATTGAAGTTGCAGTTGGATTTGGAAGTTGAAGAGATGATTAAAAGAAAAAGATGAATTGTTTGCGAAATTGCGGGAGAATATATTCGAAAGGCGGAAAAGTTTGAAGGGAAGAGAGAGGTCGAGGAAGAAGAACAGGGGGAGTGGTGAGCAGTAGCAGTGACTACTGACTTGTGAGAAGTGAGTAACGTTGAGAATGAATAAAGCAAGCAAGAGAACATTAATTGTTGTTTGCGTAATTCGAGATTACGAGTAACCAACAGTTATTTCGTTGTGTTGTGCGGATGATAGGATCTATTCCTATTTACTGAAAACAACTGAACTGATTGAAATGAATTGAATATACCTGAAATGAATTGATTATGAGAAAAGGAAATTAGGAACTGAATTGAATTGAACCGAACTAATTGGAGCTGAACTGAACTGAAATTATGCTGAACAGAATATGCCCTTACTCCCTCCGAGATTTTACTACTACGTATTTTAAGATTAAGAAATTTTAACAATAATCGTCCACGATTGTTGTCGTTGTAAAAATTATCATGACCTTGTTCGACAATTGGATGTTTGTTGATCTCTTGACTAGTCTGACTAGTTGTTTATAATGATTTCTTGGTTATTTGATTGCTGACTCTTAAATAAATTTATTTGGTCAAATAAATTCGGATAAAATTAGAGGGAGTAATTTGTATTTAGAACTTAAAATTAGTCGCATTTATACTAATCAAAGTATGTCTTGAAAATTGGCATTTGAAAAGTGGAAACCATTATTTTTTTTTCTTAATTTTTCATATTTTTGTTTTTAGCTTTCAAAAAAACTAGAAATCCAAAACAATAAATGATACTCCGTAACAAAGGGAGATATACTATACAATGAAGACACTATACCATAAAAAAAAAATATATATAAAAAAAAAACCTCATATAGTCTCTATATATATTAAACAGAAACAGCTGAATAAAAATAAGGAAATAAAGTTCAAATTAATATTTAAATAATTAGATTATTACAAATTAAATAACAACGTGATATTATGTGGCTGGCCACACTGTGTAGCCGATGTTACTTATTCAGGGAGTACTACATGTTTAGGGTTACTATCGGTCAGAGGTTACTTATTCAAGTGTTACTCGGTTCGGGGTTATTAGTTGATAATAAGTAGCACCGACTACACGTGTGACCAGTTACATGTAAACTTTGTGTTTAACTAATTAGATTATTTCTGCTCTTAACAGTCAAAGACCTAAAAACCTCGAATTGTACTCCCTGCATAATAGCTAACACATTTGAATATATATTTTCAATACATATATACTAAATCTAACTATAGGTTTTCTTTGTAAATTATTGAAACAAATTTTATCATGAAATATATTATTGAATAGATATTACTATAAATTTTCATAATATTTGTTTTTTTCTATTATATTACTAATATTTAATTATATATTTTAAAGATAAAATAGTGCATTGATATATATGCTAAATTTGACTTATTTTAAAACACAAGAACCATTGAGTTATTGTTTTGAATCAGTTCCTAAATCAGAATAAAGAACTCATACCAAATAATCAAATATTTAATTAAATATAATTACAGCAGGGGATAATCCCTTATGCAAAGTAGAAGTACTAATAATTAGTTATGGTGGGATTCGAAATGGTTATCTTAGTAGGATTTGTCATTATGAATGTACGCGCCATTGTAAAGGGTTTAACTTTACAAGATTCTTCCTTCTTTTTATTTCGCCTTTTTTACTTTTTTTTTTTTTTCCTTTTTATTTATATTTGAGCTAATATCTTAAAGTTTCCTCTAATTCCAATTTTATTCTATTTTTTTTTACGTAGTATTTAAATTTTCAAACCTTCTTAACTCTGCCTCTCCCTTTAATAAAGACTTTAATGTACAAATATACTTCGTAATTAATTCAATAATTCAATACACAATGAGATAAAATTCCGAAAATTTTAACATTGATTTCAAAATTGTTAAAGTTTACTCTAAAATCACCTTCCTTTTTTTTTTTTTTTTTTTTTTTTTAATTTTGAATACTCTAAAATCACTTTGAAAAAAGTATACGAAGCTTAATTTTCTGATATAAAAGTAGGGAAACTTAAGATTAGTCTATTTTATTTTATATAATTTGAATGAAACATTGTAATATAGTTTATCCTTGTAATATAGTTGTATATTAGTAAAAAAAATATAATAGTTGAATATTAATAAAGTATTTATTGAGACAAAACAAATAAAATCAAACAAGACTGTTATATTTTATATATATTGAGATTAGTTTCTTAATTAATGATAGTGTCAAAATTCCAAAATAAAGAAAAAAGAAATCGAGGGAAAATTTTAAAAAAAGCAACTATAATATTTTAAAATTCAATAAGTCTTATGAGTAGCCAGTCACATTGTGTGGCCACATTTGTTTATAAGAATAATTAACATTTGTTAATATTAGTAACCTTAATTATTCATGTGCGTAACCTTAATTTGGCCATAAGAGTAACCCTAATAATTTATTATGCAAATAACATCAATTAATTAAAAAAAACATAAGTAACCCCACCTTCTTTTATTTTGACTATTAAAAGAATATATAGCTCCGCTTTTCAATAAGAGTAACCCCATTTTTCTATCACGATAACCTTTTATTCATCAAGATAACCCCATTTGATTATTGGTGTAACCACCATCCATTACTTAACTAATTGGTTATGTATCATATATGAAGTGGCTAAACAATGTGGATGATCATGAAAGTGAGAGATAGCTCAAGTGGTAAGAGCTTCTCTCCCGATCTCAAGAGATAGATCCTCATTATATGTTCTTGTAATATTATAAGCTAGCTTTTGGCAAACGTCAAAACCTTCGTATATAAGGAAACTGATATAATAACAATGTATTATTGTGACAAGAGTCCGGTGAAATCAAAATCAGTGTTAGATTATCGCAATTTACGGTTAAAGAACGAAATAATGTCAACTATGTAAAATTGATATTATGAAGTAATAATGTTAGCTATGACTTGTTTAAGGTTGAACTAATTATAATTTATTATCAAGACTTTTCATCCCCAAAAACTCAAAAAGGCAAAAAGTAAGATGATATTTTACTTTGCCCTTTTGAAATTTGTACATCAGGTCAAAAGACAAGCAGAACAACTGTCTCTCTCAACTATTCTTATATTAAAGTAATTATTTGTTTCTTTAGTGCGCCAATAAACGTAAATTATACTCATTCCGTTTCATTGTAACACTAACTTTTTAACGCGCGCAATGTGCACCATAAGCTAGTCGTGTTAGATGAGATTTTTCAGTTATTGGTTATAGTAATAAGTGAAAATATGTAAATAAATATTTTTAGCCAGGGATAAATGTCCTTACATTATTTAAATAGTTAAAGAAAAAAAAAGCAATTAACAATAATGAAAGAAAAAAAAAATTGTACTCCACATATTAATGAGGGTAAACATGTAATTACACATCTTTGAATGTATAATTGGTATCACACTATTCATAAGATTAATCTATACTCCCTCCGTTAAATATTATCTGCAACTAAAGTACAGTTTACGGTTGCCAATGCAAATTTTAAAGGGCAAAGATTAGAGAAAGTTAAGTAACTTGTGGCATGTAATTAAGGTGGAGAGAGAATGTAATCAAGTGGCAAAGATCAGCAAACGCCGCCTTCACCAACACCACCGCCGCCTTCACCAACACCACTACCAACCCCACGAAACCACTACCACCACTAGCCCTAACCACCTCCAACCCAGACCACCCCACTGTTGGTGTAAAGAAAAGAATCCAAAAAGTCTATCCCGGGGACCGGGCGAGCCCCGCCCGATCGGGCGCGAGAGCAGCAAATGTTTTGGCTGATTCTCGCCCGACCGGGCCAAGCTCCGCTCGACCGGGCGCGAGAAAGAGTCGTAAATTTCTTAGTTCCGTCGCCCGACCAGGCGAGCATCGCCCGAACCGGGCGCGAGAGAGAGCTTAGAAATTGAAGGAAACTCGCCCGACCGGGTGATAGGCGTGTCGCGTACCTAACAAAAATAAACCTAACGAGACCACTACTATGTAGACGGGCAAGTAAGGATAAAATCCCAAGAGACTAAGGTTCACCTAATTAAATAGACTCAAGTAATCACTAAGTAAGTAACAAATCAATGGTGATGAAATTCTAAGAACTAATAAATAAAGGACTCAATTAATCTAAAGAAGGTGATAAATCAATGAACTAAAGCATCCAAGATCAAGCATTACCACGAATATAATTAATGCATAAACAATTCTACCCCCAATAACAATACAATCGACAAGAGGAAAAGCATTCCCTAATCAATAGCAAAGGTCTCTTCCGAGTTATCAATGGCTTCCCTAATCAACTATCAAGCCTATTTCCATGGAATCAAGCAAATATGGGACATTAAACACAATACTTAACTTCCTAATCATTCAATCATCTACTCCCGTGATGACCTTCAAACCCTTAATTGAAAAACCCAAATCCCGTTAATATTCAACTTCCGTTGCAATAAGAACAAAGGGATGATAACAATACTAATTATTCCTAATCTAGCATTGGCATAAACACAATCAATTAAGCATGTCAATTGTAAATATTATTGGAGAATTTAAAGATTCAATCTAAGCATTAATCATATCCGGGCTTTGCAAGATCCTGGATTATGAATCTACTCACACATTGCATACTAGCAAAACCTAAAACAATATTCAATAAGGAGAACATAATCAAAAGGCAATAATAATTGAAAGAGAAGAGAAATAGATGAATACCAATGATGCTTCAATTGAAATAACTCAAATTGTTGATGAACAATAATCAAATCTAATGGAAGAATTAAATTGCATAAAAGAGAGTAACTAGGGTTCTAGAGAGAAAAATAATGCTAATGGACATAATAAAGGTATATTCTAATTGTGATTACAAAGGGTATTTATACCCTTAAAAAGATAAAATTACGAAAATAAGCAAGTCGGATTCCGCAAGGCAGTGCCCGGTCCAACCGAGCGAGCTATGCCCGATCGGGCGGTTGGGATACGACACTTCTTCCTCTTCGTAGTTCTTCTTCCACCACGTGCCCGGTCCCACCGGGCTGACCATGCCCGATCGGGCGCGCGAGCGGCCTTCAAATTACTTGTTGCCTTCGAAATTCTTAGCTATCTTCTAACTCCTCTATGCCCGGTCCAACCGGGCACTTAAGGGCTGCAACACATACTCCGTATTCTGCTCATCCTTCTTTGCCCTGTCTGACCGGGCAAGCTAGGGTCAACAAGGCATGGGGGAAACCTTCATCTTCATACACCAACCTCTTCTATATTCATCCAAAATACGTCCGATTCGTACAAGAAACTCCGTATTCCTATAAAACTCAATAAAAATACATCGAACACACTAGAGAAGAGATCGTTAGCGAGAAATGGCTCCAAAGAGCCCAAAGCCATGCAAATATACATTGTAAAACCGGGATAAAACATGGTATAAAACTCATACATCAAATTCCCCCAAGCTAACCTCTTTCTTGTCCTCAAGCAAGGCAATTAAAAACAACAAACAACCAAGTAAACACACTTCACCTCATAATGCAATTGAAAACAAAGGACTCAGAATCGAAATCAAACAAGCACGCATCTTAGCCAACCAATCAAGTCACTCAAACCATCAATCAACCTAAATAGTCGTCAAGAGAAATCAACCATGTACAACTCAAGAATCGATGACTAAAGTATCTCACCTTGGTGGTCACTCAACACATTATTTACATGGAAAGCTAATAATGAGCTCGATCTCTCACCATCCCCACCAATAATGCAAACCCCCCATCTCACAACACTCGCGTGTTTAAAGGGTTATATTGTCGCTCAACCTAGTCAAATGTCGACTCGAAATGTGACATATACTCCAGCATTTTGACAAAAGACTCATTTCACATGAACACAATACCATGCACGAAGGTCAGAAGGTATTTTCAAGCTTGTAATGTAGGCCGAGTAAAAGTGGGTAGGAAATAAATTTGGGGAATGTAGGCGATCATAGTCTAACCGGGGAGCTATCAAATGCAATCAATAAACATCCTCGATCCATCATTCTCATTAACAAGAGAACATACCCCAATTACATCAAGAACATCCACTACTACCTTTATATTCTTCAAATTTCCAATTCCTTTCTTCTTTTTTTTCTCTTATTTTCTATCAATTTTTCTTTCTTTTCTTTTCAAAAACAAAATTCCTTTTCTTTTGCATCAATTCTTTTCTTTGTTCCTTTTTTTTCTTCACTTTTCAAGAATAAAACCTCTATGCTTATGATTCCTTCTTTTCTCTCTCTTTTTTTTAGAGCTCCCACATTAAGCACCAATTACATCACAAAATAACACAAACACCATGATATAAGCTCCCCCAAGCTAGACTTTATGAAAAATATGGTCAAGGCTACAACATGGGCAAGCAAGAAGGGAACATACGTTTCTAAATTCGTCTGGAAGTCACCTAAAGAACATGGCCTTCGTCCTTATCAACGTGCACGTGCAATGTATTATGACACATTACTAAAAGTCTAGAGTCAAAACTAAGATCAACATCACACCAGGAACTAAACACACATGAATGAATAATTAAGGCTCAAGCCTCACTGTTAACACAGTCAAGCTCCAAACTCATACATGGTTAACAACGTTGACTCCCACAAGGGATCAAACAATTTGAGGTCAAATCATGATCATTTAATTCGCAATGCAAATCTTTCAATCGAGATTAAATCAAAAACCTTTTGGCATTAAGGATAGGGGCACAGGGAAGTAGTTCATTGGCCGTTCATTATCATGATTCTCGTATTTTTTCATTTTTTTTTGTACTACCAAAGCAATAGAAACCAAAGCAATAAAACAAACCAACAAAGCAAAAGAAAATAAGAGAAAATACCGAGATAGATATACACAAGTCTCCCCCAAGCTACACTCAGCAATGGCCTCATTGCAACGTGTGGGAGTTGGAAAATTACCTCGGGGCAGTGATGACCTTTTTGTTTGTCTGTTTTCTAGACACTAACAAAACAGGAAAATAAAAAAAGTAAAAGGAAAATAATAAATAAATAAATAAAATAAAGAATAAATAAAATAAAATAAAAAGGAATGGGTTGCCTCCCATTTAGCGCTTGTTTAAGGTCTTAAGCTTGACCTTCTTTATTAGCTCAGCCTAGGTCGCGCCACACAAAGAAGAAACTCCGCGATGTTGCCCATAAAAATATCCGCCTCCAAATGACTCCTTCATTTTATATTTGACATGCTTTGTATCCGAACTTACTTTCATGTAGCTAAACACATTATTTGGTGGAATATTGTCCTCGTTTCTCACAAGATTTCTATCACATACACACTTATCAACCAAAGGGTTAGTAGCATCAATTCTTAAACAAGTACCACCATCAAATATAAAATTATGTTCATTAAAGAGCTTAAACACTACTTGTTTATCCTGGGCCCTAATGGTCACTTGTCTTTTAGGAACATCTATTAGAGCTTGACTTGTGGCAAGGAATGGGCGACCAAATATAATCGGGATCTTATGGTCTTATTTCATATCCATAACAACAAAATCAACAGGAAAAACAAGTTCACCAACCTTAACTAATACATCCTCAACCACACCTTTAGGGAGTCTAGCAGTCCTATCAGCCATTTGAAGAGAAATAGGGGAAGGTTTAAGTTTTTGCAAACCTAATTTTCATATAATGAATAAGGCATTAAATTTACACTAGCACCTAAATCACACAAGACCCTGTCAAAAAATATTTCGTTTATCATACAGGGAATAGTAAAACTACCAGGATCATGCAGCTTAGGTGGTAGGCTATCACGTAAAAGAGTAGAGCGTTTCTCATTTACTAACTTCCTTATCATCATGTTGATCTTTAATTTCCTTCATAAATTTTGCAAATTGAGGCATTTGAATTAAAAGATCAGAAAAAGGAATGGAAGCATGTACCTTTTTAAGAGTCTCGCAATATTTCCCAAAATGTTTATCGAGCACAGCTTTTGACAACCTTTGCGAGAAGGACATCGGTTCTTCATAGGCTGGTGGAGCAACATATTTGGGACTTTTTACATCCTCACACTTTTCATCTTTTCTTGACTCCACACTGCACACTTTCTCATCTATTTTCCTCGAAAATAATTCATCTCTTCTCAAGAAAACTGCATTGCATTGTTCCTTTTGGACTTTTGCTTGATCATGAAGAGTTGATAAATGACTCACTTGTTGTGAAAGTTGAGAAAGGTGAGTTTCTATCCTCTTATTTTGAGCAATAAGCATTTGAATCGAGCTTTCAAAGTGTTCATTTTGCTTTGCTTGTAGCTCAAATTGCTTTGTCATAAGCTCTTGCTGTCGAAGTTGGGAAGTAGTGAAAGTCTCCATAATGGAATCACGATTGTATTTTGAATTTTGCGGTGGTAATTGTTGATTCATGGGTTGGTGATTAAAAGATGCCCTTGCTTGAAAACTAGGTGGTGGTGACGGAGAATTCAATTGAGCTTGAGTGTTTATATAAGAGAAGTCTGGATGATTTCTCTACCCTTCATTGTATGTGTTTGAATGAGGATCATACGGCCTCTTAGAATTAGAGGTGTAGAATGCATTGGCCTCCTCAATTGACATCTCACTGGAATTTTTGGGGCAATTAGGTGCAATGTGACCCTGCACATTACACATCTGATAGGTCTTCGGTGAGCTAGTAGATGTTCCGGCTTGGAGTCTGTCAAACTTGCTTGTCAATGCCTGCACAGAGCTAGTCAAAAGAGTTAGAGCATCAACATCTAATTTACCTCCCTTCTTCACACTATGTCGACCTCTTGGATGATAATTATCATTGGCTACCATCTTCTCAATTAGCTCTTTGGCTTCAGTTGGACTCTTAGTCATGAGAGAACCCCCGGATGCAACATCAATGTATATGCGAAACTCATGGGTCAGACCATTGTAGAATGTTTGGATCAACATCCACTCTGGGACACCGTGATGAGGGAATTGTCTCTGTAAGCGCTTGAATCTTCTCCATGCCTCATATAAAGACTCATTATCAGATTGACGAAAGGTAGCTAGCTCGTTCCTTAACCTTGCAGTCTTCTTTTGTCCTAAAAATCTTACTAAGAAAGCTTTGGCAAGCTTATCCCATGCATCAAAGGAACCTATACCTTTGTCTCGTAACCATTCCTTCGCTCTATCCCGTAGTGAAAAAGGGAACAAACGAAGTCTGATAGCATCATCAGTAACACCGTTGAGCTTTATGGTGTCACACTTCTTCAAGAAACTGTCTATGTGACTAACAGGGCATTCATGAGGTGTGCCTACAAATGAGTCATTGGAGATGAACTGTATGAATTGAGGTTTTAATTCAAAGCTCTGAGCGGTAATAGATGGTCTGACAATGCTGGATAGGAGCTCGGTTGCGGTATCAGGAATGTCGTACTCCAGTAAAGATTTGATTCTTTCGGTCATTTTTCTTGTATTTTGATGTCTCCTTCTTCTACCTCTTCGTCTCCTTGCAGTAGCTTCGATTTCAGAGTCAAAAGGTGTTAAGCTGTCTAAACTTGAACATCGAGTTTGCATGCAACAAAGAACTAAAAAGAGGAGATAAAAAACACAAGAGACAATAGCCGAAGCAACGAATAAAGCTTAGCAAAAACAATCACAAATAATCAGAAAGAAACCGTTAGTCCCTGGCAATAGTGCCAAAATTTGATGGGCGTGTCGCGTACCTAACAAAAATAAATCTAACGAGACCACTACTATGTAGACGGGCAAGTAAGGATCGAATCCCAAGAGACTAAGGTTCACCTAATTTAATAGACTCAAGTAATCAATAAGCAAGTAACAAATCAAAGGTGATGAAATTCTAAGAACTAATAAATAAAGGACTCAATTAATCTAAAGAAGGTGATAAATCAATGAACTAAAGCATCCAAGATCAAGCATTACCATGAATATAATTAATGCATAAACAATTCTACCCCCAATAACAATACAATCGACAAGAGGAAAAGCATTCCCTAATCAATACCAAAGGTCTCTTCCGAGTTATCAATGGCTTCCCAAATCAACTATCAAGCCTATTTCCATGGAATCGAGCAAATATGGGACATTAAACACAATACTTAACTTCCTAATCATTCAATCATCTACTTCCGTGATGACCTTCAAACCCTTAATTGAAAAACCCAAATCCCGTTAATATTCAACTTTCGTTGCAATAAGAACAAAGGGATGATAGTAATACTAATTATTCCTAATCTAGCATTGGCATAAACACAATCAATTAAGCATGTCAATTGGGAATATTATTGGAGAATTTAAAGATTCAATCTAAGCATTAATCATATCCGGGCTTTGCAAGATCCTGGATTATGAATCTACTCACACATACTAGCAAAACCTAAAACAATATTTAATAAGGAGAACATAATAAAAAAGCAATAATAATTGAAAGAGAAGAGAAATAGATGAATACCAATGATGCTTCAATTGAAATAACTCAAATTGTTGATGAAAAATAATCAAATCTAATGGAAGAATTAAATTGCATAAAAGAGAGTAACTAGGGTTCTAGAGAGAAAAATAATGCTAATGGACATAATAAAAGTATATTCTAATTGTGATTACAAAGGGTATTTATACCCTTAAAAAGATAAAATTACGAAAATAAGCAAGTCAGATTCCGCAAGCAGTGCCCGGTCCAACCAAGCGAGCTATGCCTGATCGGGCGGTTGGGATACGACACTTCTTCCTCTTCGTAGTTCTTCTTCCACCACGTGCCCGGTCCCACCGGGCTGACCATGCCCGATCGGGCGCGCGAGCGGCCTTCAAATTACTTGTTGCCTTCGAAATTCTTAGCTATCTTCTAACTCCTCTATGCCCGGTCCAACCGGGCAAGACATGCCCAACCGGGCACTTAAGGGCTGCAACGCATACTCCGTATTTTGCTCATCCTTCTTTGCCCTGTCTGACCGGGCAAGCTAGGGTGAACAAGGCATGGGGGAATTAAAACACTTGTCTTTTCTGATTTTTCATTCCAACCTTTTCTCTTCCCTGATCTTTCATCTCCCTTCTTATCTTCTATATATGTTGAAGTCAGAAATTTTCTGATTATTCTTTTATGAGAAAAACACAAGAGTTAAACATACTAAGCTAAATACATTCCATATTCTTTGGGCATAAGTTTACATAGGCTCCACCTCTCATTCTAAAGTTCCTTAGCGTGAGAGTGGTGTGTAACCTTAGGGAACGATCCGGTGAATACAATTGAGCACCCCGGTTGCACCGGAATTCGTTTTCAAAGGCAGTGATTATTCACGCCACACCGAATTTCCTTTCTAATTTTTCCGGGTTCATTTTATTGCTATTGTTTTAGACACCTTATTTTAACAACAATTTTGAAAACGAATTATGTCTATTACTAATAGAATTTTGAACAAGACTCTTCCCGACCTCTCTAAGCTGGAACCGCTTGATGGTAACAACTATAAGAGGTGGTCACAAAAGTTGCTAATCTTTTTTGAACAGTTGGAAGTTGATTATGTGTTGAATGAAGATGTCATTGAAACCCTCAAGAATGCGAAGGAAGCTGCCAAGACCGCTACTGAGGTAATCCCGGCGCCCATAACGGAAGCTTAGAAAAATAAGGAGAAGGACAACAAGCTTGTTCGTGGCCATCTCTTCAACCATATGAATAACACTCAATTTGATTTGTTTGTCAATTTCAGGTCAAGCAAGATAATATGGGATTGTAGGGTTTCGTAGTGACCCACACTACGCGGAAAGAAACCTGCCAAGACCCGCCCCTATAATAAATGCAATTAACAAGCAAAATATAATTAAACACAAGAAAGGATAAAAGATTATACCTTTGACGCGTGCTTCGCTCAACAATGAGCTCTTACTTGAACCCCGAAAATACGAGGTCTCCAACGGGATCGTACCCTCGAACCCGACCCGAGCGTCCTAAGTCTCGAAGGTTAGTCGAGACCCGGACAAATAAAACTATGAGTTTTACGAATCAAGGTTTACTCAAATCAAGAGTTGCCTTTTAATTCCACTCAAGGTTGTATCTCCCCAAATACCCAAGCCTTTGGTATTTATAGGGAAATATACCCTTGATTCCAATCTCCCATCAATGTGGGAGAGTTGGTAAAATCAATAATTTATTTAATTCCAAATTAAATAAATAATTAAGTTAATCACATTGCGACAAGTGGCACAATCACATGCTAATGAGTGATGGCCAAGGCTAGGTGGGGGGACCATTTGCCTTGCACCCCAAGGCCCCTTGATTGGTCCCCACAAGCAAACACAAAACCGACACATGGGCTACTAGGCTGGCAGCCAGCTAGCGTGCCAGCCAGCCAACACTCCCTTGCTGCCCAGCATCCCCATCGCACGCACACACGCACCAGCCCCACGCATCATCGCTGCTGCTGCTTGCTAGCCAGTACGCACTGGCACTCGTACACGCACACGCACAGGGCATTGCCTGACATGCTGCTGTGCGAGGCTGCTGCTGTGAGGATGCGAAGCACACACGTACACACACGCAAGCCCCTGGCATTGCGATGGTGCCGTGCGTGGTGCCATGCCTGCGATGGTGCCTAGGCTGCGTGCTGCGATGGTTCGATAGGCCTAGGCACAAGCACACGCACGCACGCAAGCCCTTGGCATTGCGATGGTGCTGTGCGTGGTGCTAGGCCTGCGATGGTGCCTGGGCACTCGCACACGCCCAGCGTGTTGTGATGCGAGGCAAGCACCCATGCTAGTACTTGGTGCTAGCGATGGTGCTGCCATGCTAGGCACGCACGCACGCCAGCACCTAGTGCCAGCGATGGTGTGCCTAGTGCATGATGCTAGGGCTGCGATGGCGCCTAGGCATCATGCCTCGCCTAGCACACCATGGTGCTAGCACACACACGGTGCGCCTGAGCTTGCGATGAGCTAGCCTAGCCTAGCTACGGCTATGCTCGTACTTGTCGCTTGTGATTTTGCGACGCTCGGTCTCGACGCCCTAGGCTCGATATCCGAAGTCTGTATTTGTAAAACTCCGTCGACTCATTAAATCCTTCGGATTACCTCGTCGTCTCGGATCGGTTGTTCGATTGGGTTCGACCCGAAGGGTTCAATTAAGATTAAGCTGTAATATTGATTGTACCTTAATATTACTGATCGAAAGCGGCCTCCACCTAGGCATTCCGATCACTTGACCTTACTGAAGAATTAGCTCTTTAATAATTTTGAACCCTCCATCAGAATAATACACTTGTTGGAAGGACACCATTCCTTTCAGGGATTCCTTGGAGAAGAAATATGGATCGGATGATGCCGGTAAAAAGAAGTACGTGGTGGGAAAGTGGATTATTTTTAAGATGGATGATGAGAAGCCGATCATGTCTCAAGTCCATGTCTATGAAAATTTGGTGACCGAG